ATTTACCACACGCGCAGTTAATCCTGTACACACCTTCTGTTGATCGCTCGGTAATACATCTTTTGTACCAGATATTAATTTCTGTATTTATTGTACCGTGCCAAATCTGGCAGGTTTTAACGACACATTATATATTTACGCGATGATATTTTTCGCAAAAGCCTACGTGTTAAAATGATAATTGCATCGGTCTCACTGCAACTCACTGCAACATGTTCTGAAATTTCTACCACTTGTAATATAAACACTTTGGTTTTTTTTATATATATATGGACAGCTGCTCTTCTAATTCCCAATTACCCGGCAATGAGACGTTTTACATATGTAGGGATTATTACGGGAGAAACGGCGGACAACAAACACAGGGGTGTCGGCACTCACATACACGGGTGGTCACACCGACGTCCTCATCCGTTATTGCCCACGCCCCCAGCCCTCGGAGGTGATCCCTATAAAAGGTGGAGACCCAAAGAGCTCCGAGCAGTTCGACACGAAGCTGACCAGTGAAGATCCAAGACTCGGAGATTAGGCCCTGGGACTCCCCGGTCTCGCCGTCCTTATAAGGGCCGAGCCGGGTAAGCCAGCGGCGCGGCCCAAAAGCTTCCAGACCGCTGCCCTTATCAGGGCAAGGCTGGTTAGCTGGTGCCGAGATCTGTGCTTGCCAGGGCCAGATCAGTCAGCCTCCCGTAGCCCAGCAGAGGAGGACTGGGGAACAGGACAGAGGGCTTAGTACTAGGGTGGGTTTCCCATAGTACGGGTGAAAGGGGCCGATACCCCTTCAACTATTGTGCCTGTCCCTGGGTTAATAAACAGTGTGTCCCAACTTCGACATCGTCTCCTCGAACTTACTACACAGATGAAAGATGCGTTAAGCTAATTCGATGTGAAGGCAGATGATGACGGTGATGATGATATTATATTTCAGTTATATTGCTAAATAACCTAATGCCATCGTTATAATGAGCTGCTTCGCCCCGCGTTGATCGTTCTGTCACATCATATTAAAAGGTTCATCTTCATAGAGGTGAATCAAACAAATACTTTGCTATATTCTCCCTGCAAGTTTTATGCTGCACGTGCACTGCCGATGTGGATGAAGGCCAAAGAGAATGGAAGAAGGGCAATTTTTAGAACTGTTGGGACAATAAAGTTCCTTTAAGGAATAGAAGCGTGGATTTCCTTTCCAAATGTTTGATTTTTGACGGCATATCATCAACTTATTCAATATAAATTTCGATTTGAAGCTTTCGTGACTGCAGGGATTCATATTCTTGGTTCTTTCGGTAAAGTCACGTAGAAGGGAAATAATACAAATAAAATGTAAGACAATTCTCACGACGTTTCGGCCACAACACAAGCAGCCGTCCTCGGGTGAAGAACAGAGCTGTCGGAAAGACATTAGGATGCTTCCGTCTTGAAGACAGAAGCTTGTGTTGCCTCCGAAACGTCGTGATTTAATTTATTTTATATTTTACCTACGTGACTTTACCAAAAAAAACAAAGAGTATATCTATTTTCGACAGCGTATTCAATCATTTTCGAGAGGTAAAAAAACAGCATACTGCACATGTTAAAATATCTTATTAATCATCTGTTTGATCGGTGGCAATATAAAATAATTTACACGTTTGACAATTGAGGACACATCAAATCCAGAGCTGTTGAAACATATGCTGCTGTAAAATGTCGTGCATTTTTCCTCTGCTTGTGATCTTCCACTGCTGAATTGACTATAAAATACACAGACATTTTATATGTGTGCATATATTTTCAATTCTGGTGGGATAGAGTGTGAGATGCATTCGTCTAGTTTGGCTATGGGCACTTAGCCAGGCTCAGTCAGAGGCAGAGTCCGGAGATTGCAGTTAACCAAGCAGGCCACTCTAATGCCAGCTAACAATTCAGGAAAACAGGCTTTAGAAGTAGGCCTGAATTATTACCACCAGTATTCAATAACGAAGTAATCGAAAGCAAACAACTGTAATATTTTCCTCACTAAAGGAACGTTATTTTCGACATTCATATGGCCGAATGCATGTGTCCTTTTAAGGATTCAACTTTGCACGCACACTTAGGCTTCTAACCAAGACAGGCGTCCTGATGTGTGGATGGTAGGTAGGTGGGTCTGTGGCTGTAGACAATATAACAATAGAGTTATTGTTGGAGTGGAGGGGAGTTCAGGCTGTGGGGAGCTCAGGCTACAGGAAAACTCGAGGCATCGATTATATTTTAAGTTTCACTTTTCTCCCAGGGCAATGTACTCCTTGTTTTGTCCAAATTGGAAGATGGAAACGGTATTCTAAAGCCACTCATCGAATTAAACCACTCGTGAATCTCAAGTGTATGAAAGTTATGATACTAATCTTCTAAATGATGCTTTCAATCGGACGAAAACTTATTTGTCAGTCGTTACGGGTCACTAAGTGTTGAGGTTTGGTCGTACATAACGATTACAAATGAAGTGGCGGCTACAGCATTAGAATTTAATTAAGATCCACTTTGGCTTTTTTTTCCTCCGTCTCGAGATACCATTGTGGTTCAACAAAGCATGCAAAGCACTTTGTCCCGCATTAGCATTCTGTAAAAGTTATTTTTGGTTGAGTGATTGATTTAAAAAAAAAAGGTCAGAGTTTCCCCAGTGAAGCCAATTCAGTACCATTACCATATCCCACACGCCTTCATTTGAAAATTATCTCCCAATGCATGAATGTCAGCGGGTACACAGTAGTCCCTCGGTTAACAGTGACATCATCGGTTAACGTTTTTTTTGGAAACGTTTCGCCTCCCACATGACCCCCTATTAACGACACGTTTACGTTATGCGCACGGGCGACAATATCGGCCAATCCGTGTGCTCGAACACAGGGCAGAGCCATGTCCTCTGCCAATCAGCGACGCTCGTTTATGAGCGTTTCGACCTCAACTGGCGTTGCTTACATTATTACGTTTTCTGTTTTTGGCATTGGAAAACAGCTCTCTTGCAGACTCAGTGATTCGACGAACAGTTATTTCGGTTAACAGTTTTTGTGGAAGGGATTAAAAACGTTAACTGAGGGACTACCGTACCTCGAATGAATCTGTGGACATTATTTCAGATTCTTTGACGCGTTTCCGTACCTCGTGTTGCTTGGTGCGACGTCGGGACATTTCTCTCTGTGTGCTTGGAGATTTTTCAGCAACTTGGTTCCAAGCAACACGCTATAAAGCACAACCGCCAAAACCCAAACGGTATTGTTTAAAACTATTATTTAAATGTTGTTGATTCACACCTTAGTCCTTTACTGTGCATACCAGTCCATTTTAACTGAAGCAACTTAACTACAGAAACTTAACTTGGTTGCAAGCAACGCGCTCTATCTCCAGCACAACTCCCAAAACCCACATTCCAGTATTGTTTACAACTGTTCCTTAAAATTGTAAGTAGTATACGTAGCGTATTATCGTGTCCGTTATTTACTGTGCATACGAGTCCAATTGAACTCCGGACAAGCGAGTGAAACGTATTTTTTTGCTAAACGAAATGTGTGGTCACGTGACACGCACGCTGACTCGACGTTGGAAATGTAAACAGTGGCTTTGATTTCCAGAGGGCTTTAGACGTCTTGGGGAGCGGAGGTCAGGGAGATGAAATGTCATGAATATTAAATGCCGAGGTCACCGGAAAGCATCGATCCCCGGGTTCAAATCCACGCAGGCATCTGTGATTAAACCAGACTGTTATAATGGGTTCATGGTCTCAGCCAGGTTCACCGGTGATTATAGTAAAAAAAACATTAAGTTTAGTTCTGCATTTAATGTGGCTAAATTCCCGCTCTGAAAATTGTTACATTTTTCAAACATTTTCTTTGTCATGCGTCAAACGTTAATCTGACTGGTGAAGCGAAGCAGATGGGAAAGTGCTGACCCTGCCTTGTTGGCCATAAGTCATTTGAAGAGATCTCTGGTGGTGGTACCTCTGTGATATCCGCTTCTGCGGACCGTTCTCGTCTCATCGCATGAATCGGGTACCTCAAGAAAAAAATTTGTGGGAAAAGGTAGTAAGATGTACTGTGTATATTTATCAATCTATTTTGTTTGAGGCTGTTGTTTTAAATACATATTTATATGTATATATTTAAAGCATTTAACCATTTTCTATGTTGGTCTGTAACAAGGGCGGGTGGGGTGACACAACAACTCTTGTAAAGATGATCCAATATCAACAGAACTTTAATGTAATGTTGTGTTGCAATTCAGGAAATTACCCGATTGAAAAGTGGCCAAATTTTTCGCAGGGTTGCCCAAAACTTGTTGCTGAAAACCAGCACTAAAATAACTCGTTGCAAATATGCTAAAACTTTATTTTAATGCTCTTTGGTTCTTTCTGTAAAGTCACGTAGGTAGAAAAATAAAACAAAATAAAAATAAAATATCACGACGTTTCGATCGCAACACAAGCGGTCGTCCTCGGGCGGAAAAAGAAATCCAGCAGTGGAACTGCTGAACCGGCTACCCAACCAGCTTGTGTGTTGCTAATTAAATGCTTCTTGTGAAGGTGTATGTGTGTATGTTGATCGTCTTTCTCACCGTACGTAGCCAACCGCGAGTTGCAAAGTGTTAAATGATCCGCGCGTGTGCACGGTGTTTCCTAACTTTTTAAATCCTTTATATTAAGTTCACTTGCTTGCTTGCTTGCGCGCTTACGACCGTGCAAATCTTTCGGTCGTTTTTTAACCCACTTCCCGTGATCCAATCGAGCTGAGATTTTGCACACAGACTCGTTGTGCGTGACAATTAATTTTCGTGAATTTTTTTTTTCAAAATGTTACACTTTTTAGGAATTTTTTTTTATATTTAATTACCAATTGCTTAATGGTGGCAGGCAATCATCTGACCCATAGGTGGCAGCCATCTCAAGCCAGAGGACGAGAGGACTCTAGCCGCCACGCATATAAAGGATTTATAGTGAAAAACTTTGTTTTTACGGGTTAATTTTTTGTTAAATTGGTTTTTACCCACAGGTGGAAGACATGCTTGAGCAAGCCGCAGCTGAGCGATCGGGACACAGCAAGCAGCCGGACCGGCCTCTGATACGTCTGAGGGTAAGCCTGCAGCCACTGCAAGTCTTCATCACTCGTTATCATCATCATCGTCGTCGTCGTCAACATGTGAGGATACCAGCTGTGGGAGAAAACCAAAGAACCCAGAGGGAACAACCTCTGTAGGACGTGGATCAGAGGTCGCAATCGGGTACCCGATACCCGTACCCTACCCGATACCCGGCTACCCGTACCCGGCCGGGTATCGTGTACGGGTACGGGTACCCGTACCCTTCCCGGCCGGGTACGGGTACCCGTTTGTGACCCTGGTGCGGCCGGGTACGGGTAAGGAATCAAAACCCGTTTGCGACCTTTGACGTGGATAGATACATAGACGACAAACAGAGAAGCACTCGAGTGACAGATGGAAGCCCGGTTCGTCTTACTGTCAGGCACATGTGGTGGCGTTGTGTCTAATAGCCGCCAGCCCATAGACTTCACCATCAACATCGGCTGTGTCACCTTCCTCAGCAGCATTAGACTCGTCAGGGACAGCAGCAGCAGCAGCATCATAATCATAAAATGTTTGTCAAGTAAAGCAATGCACCATACTTAAGTAAAGAGTCACAGTGAGTTTCTGCTCCAATGAGCATGGAAGCTGGGCTCATCCGTTATTTCCAGCCTTGAACCAGTCGTGGAGATTCAACATTCCTCCGATTACCTCGGCTGGCTGCGTACGGTGCGAAAGAAGTTCAGCATACGTACATAATACATGTCTAATAGGACAACCACTTTTTATACTTCCCCACAAAAGTGGTAACTGTTTAACTGACCCACTCCCGGGGGGATGACGCGCTGAGTTTAACCCTCAACCAGGATTTTAACTCCCGCTCGCTCTGCCTGCTGAGCCATACGTGCATAGTAGCCGTCTTCGTCATTCCGTTGTGAACCTATTTGCTGGCACCTCCCCCCCCCCCCTGTTTAGTAGGCTACTTCTCACAACGCCACCACTGACAGTGTCTTAACTTGCACTTCAAAATCGGGAAGAATAGTTCGGGAAATTCTTCCAAAGAATTACCTCCTGAAGTGAGGCATTGACTTAATGATAATACTTAGTTCTGGATTTGAAGCTTTCGTGACTGCAAGGATTCATACTCTTAGGTTTTTTTTTGTAAAGTCACGTAGGTAGAAAAATATAATGACAAAATAGTAATAATTGAAAATAGCTAAATAAAATCACTTTATTTATTTATTTTTATTTATTATTATTTATATTTTTTTTCCTACGTGACTTTACCGAAAAAAACTAAGAATAATACTTCGATTTGATGCTAATTGCATCATACTTTTATTATTATTATCGTTTGGACAATAGCATCCCATAAGGCTGTAAATGAATTTTATGTATCAGGACCAAATCCCATAAGAGCCACTACCAAGCAAATCAGAACCCGACGATGCGAAGTGTCACTCAAAAAAAATTAATAAACAAAATTAAGAATTGGCGTCATAACGAAAGGGCACAAACAAACAACAACAACAACAAAGTTATCGCAACAAAGAATTTGCACTTTGGGTGAAAACAAATCCGTCGGCGATGACGATGGTGTCACCACCTGTCCCGCTTTCATGTGGTCACACATCAATATTCCCATCACACCTTTCCATCATGTGACATTGTCCTTCTGTTATGTTTCCATTTTAAGTCGTTAACAGTTGAAACTCCACGCGCATCGATTTTCTCTCCATTGCCTTTGATTAATGAAGGTGCATAAAATGCTAAGTGTCCCTGTAATGTGCTGCTCCTCACTAGGCCATATGTCGATCTACTTGTGTTTATCTTTGGCCTATTGATCCTTTCTGGGCAAGTTGCCAAGTTAACTGTGGTGAGAGCCATTCCCCGAAGAGATAGGCAAACGTGTGTAATCTTTACTTAAAGAATATGAAATTGATGAAGTAGATTTTTCACTGTTTTCACTTCGCCTCCAGCTATCAACGTCTTTCACGGTACCCTTTCTGTTTGCCTGCAAGAGAGATTTTAATTGAGCCGTTTATTTAAAAAACAAAGTTTACCGTGAGCGGATTGTCATTTCATGTCATCTTTTAATCTCCACGTATCTGATTAATTTATAATGTCATACTTTTGTTCAATTTTTTTCACGTGCACACAACACTTGAGTCAAAGAGTCACGAGAGATTTCCTGTTCTCATGAATGTCGAGGGGGTGGTCATCTGCTTACAGTGCTGAGCCTGCGGGAGAAATGCCCCATTCCTCAGGGAGTGAGTCCTGTATCCAACCAGAATTCCAACTCTCAACCTACCGATTGCGTGCCACTCGCTCTTCCTGGCCGATCATTTTGGCCTCACCTGGGATGTCAGGTTGTTACCCATACTTCACCACGCCGGTCAATGCGGGTTGGTGACAGGAAGAGGTCAGATATAATTCGCCGCTGACGTTAGCCATTGGGGGGACTTGAACTCAGGCAGTAATGATTGCTGTGTATAATAATCCCAATTCAGTTAATTTACGGTGTCAAAATTGAACCCAGACGCACGGCACGCAATGGCCTCCTCTCTTGCGAATGATGTTACGGGCCCTTTAGTCTTCTTGGTTCTTTCGGTAAAGTCACGTAGAAGGGAAATAATAAATAAAAATAAAACATAATAAAATACAATTCTCACGACGTTTTGGCCACAACGCAAGCAGCCGTCCTCAGGTGAAGAACAGGTCTGTCGGAAAGACAGCGTCATCCCTTCTACGTGACTTTACCGAAAGAACCAAGAAGATGAATCCCTGCAGTCACGAAAGCTTTATACGGTTTAATGCACCGGCAGGTATAATGAGGGCGGCCACTGGATTCGAACCGTCAACCTCTGTGTCAAAGGTCGAACGCGCTACCGCTAGGCCATGTCACTGCCTACAAGGTGCTGACGAAGGTATTGAGGTGATGTTTGTCCGTGCACCCTATTCTGTTGTTTGCAGATTGACTACAGCGGAGGCTTTGAGCCGTTCAACACTCTGCGCTTTAGCCAGAAGTTTGTGGAACATGTTGGGAACCCGAAGGACATCATTCACTTCTTCAGGCAGAGGGAGATGAAGGCCAGAACAGGTTTGCTCTCAATCACGTATTCATTATTATCATTCTGTCACCTTCACGGCAACAACATTTCGCTGTGGCGAGATGTTAACTCCCTCTCACATCCACGCGACCACGGGGAGAGAGTGAGAGGCACGCAAATATACAGCAGCAGGCGTCGGGGTCGGGATCGAACCGACGACCTCCTGCGTAGCGGTCGTGGTCGTCAAAATCTCCTAGCCACCGCGGCGTATTGTGAGAGACCCACGCTTTAAGATGTTCTGTGTTCATATTTTGTTTGTTACGGTTGCACCCGACTTAAGAGCTGCATGGCTCACAGGGCTATACCTAATAAATTAAACTTGAAACTTGAAATTCTCCTCGCATACAGGAGTTCGTGGGTTCCATCCCAACGCTGACGCCTGTATATTCGGGGTTTTCATGTTCTCCCCGTGGTCGCGGGGATTTTTCTCCGGTTTGATGCCCCCACATTTCGAATCGACGTGCGTTTAGAGTATTTAGCTGCCGCTATAAATTTCCACGTGATAAGCCACTTCGTTCGGCTATCATTTGTGACCAGGTCACTTCTGAAAACGAGCTATATGGCTAAGTGGGCCTTACTTGGCAAAATAAAAAATAGTTTAGTTTAAGTTATGGAGCTTCGACATGCAAGCCCCCGACGGGCTTCATAGAAATTAATTTAAAAAAATACATTACATAGATAAGTTGGAATTAACGTTGGTCCGATTGAGTTCAAATGAACACATTCAGCCATATGGCCAAAACAGTTGATTTAGATTGCGATCATTTAGCTCACTCTATTTACGATATTAACTTAGTACGTATGTTGAACTTCTTTCGCACAGTACGTAGCCAACCGTGTTAATCGGAGATCCTCAAACATTTCACACAGTTCATCGCCATGTTCATCAAAGTATTGAATTTCTTGTTGAATTATATAAAGAGCCACTCAAAATTATTTTTTTCTTACTTTCAAGTTTTATGTGCCTCCTGGTTTTATTCATTAAACTTAAACACCGTGAGTTCAGAGACAATCCCGTCAATGTTTAATGTTTGCTCAACGGAGTTCAAACGTAATGCATAACTTGTCAATACACACAGAGTTGTTGTGTAGAGAGCGCAGACGCACAGACGATCCTGAGCAGCCTGTGAATACGAACGGATTAGAATGAGATTCTCGGCTGTGGACATGAACATCAGAAGTAACAAATAGAGAGGGTTTAGTCTCTGTTCTATATTCGTATTGAGTGGCACCGTATTATTCAGTATACATTTTGCATCCTGAACTCTTAATCCACGTTTCTTGTTAGCCATACAAACCTGGGAATCCGTCATTCTTGCCGTGTTACACTGATCCCAATGAATCTCGGATTTCTCAAATCAAGGACGATGGGAAATGTCACTTGCGAAAGCAGTTTGAACGTGCAAATGGCTTGTACAACAACAACAATGGCCGCCATTCGCCACTAACTGACGGTGACATCTCCATGGCGCCTGTGCCAGGCCAGGTGCACTTTGAGGCCACGTGACGTGTCGAAGGCTCGCTAGCAGGAGGTTAAGGGACAGACCCAGGTGCCATGGGTTTACTGACTAAGATGACTGGCAGATGCACCAGCTGTGCCCCCTACTGTGCCAACTTACTGCTGTTTAGCCGCCCGGCGCTCCGCTCACTGTTGTGAGCGTCGCTCCTCTGATATCCGTCGTTGTTGGAGGGCGACTGCCTCCAACTGCCCAGTAGCATCCTTCACGAGCCTCCTCCACAGAGGCCGATCTTGACACGGCTGGTACCAGTCTGCGGTAATCAGCGCAGATTGCCCCAGACCCTAAACGTGGAGTGCTCCTCTAAAACAAGAGTGGACAGTCTCGCCTACTTCACATCTCTCCAGAGACGTAGATGGAGTGAAAGAGTAATTGCACCTCTCTGAAGAAGTGGTAGAATTAGCCATAGGCGTTTTAGGGTTGCTGCTTGTCCCCACCCGTTAACACCGCAAAATAAATGGTGGCAAGTCTCCTGTTCCCAGTGCTGCCCGATAGACCCCACGACTCGCAAATCTAAATCGCAGTGATTTTCATCCCATTGTCCTGATGGTATTACTCCTCTGTGTCATCACCCCCGTGCTATCGGTACATTGGTCGCCTTTTGTAGTTCTCTGCTTTTACAGGATGGCATGCGGATTGCCACACAAATAGGACGGATTTTGTGTATGGAGATTGAGGAAATTAGCTAAACATTTAATTTCCACCACAACTTTCCACCGACACCATTCAGCCTCGTGGTTTTTAATTGCCGTAATGGGACCGACAAACCGCAGTCTTAACATCTCGTCAAAAAGAACATTTTATATTTCTGTATCACACGATCACGAGAGGTTGCTGTGAATTTGGCCTTCATCCAGCAGTGGATTGACCATGGATGATTATGATGATTGCTATATTAGCGCTTTTAATGATAGTGCATCACTGATTGCTTGCTGCTGCCGGAAACAGCATCACCGAATAATTTGTATCAGAAATGTACGGGTAGTTATGGAAATGGTGATTGGGCTCGGGAAATTTGTTTCATCCTCTGCAACGCAATTATAATGGCAGTCAAATTCCTTGTATTGAGATGGTAATGGAGCCCAGGAATCCACCGCCAAGGGGTGGTTATGCCTTGTTTGTCCTCAACCAGAATACATCTTCCCACAATGCATTGTGCCAGCAACATTTTCCAATTCAACTTTTAATATTGATTCGTTTATTCAGTCATGATTTTCGTTATTAAAGGGGGTTGTCTCTGTTACTCAATAGCTACTGTTATGCAACTATTCATATGCCCATTCAAAAACTGGTCATGAGAAAGCATGAAAATATTTTAAATTCTCATTAGGCCCCGTGTCGTATTAAGTGCAGACTCCAATTATTATTAACTCTTTCTCTGGACTCTCTGTGTATGTGCTATGAACAAGGGCCAATGCCTGCTATGTTGCTGATTTTAAATATGTTTTAATGTAATTAAGGCCACAGTGTTGTTTACAAATGCGTTGAGTTTTTTGTTTCCATTATTTGTGCTTGTGCACCACTGCCAGCGTGGAAGCTACGGCAAATAAAATTTATCATTCTCCCATATCTTAAATTGAGCCGACCTAACGATGTTCACCCACAACACCGATAGGCTCATCTTACACGTGCTCGCTGGTGACACTCATTGCTTTTATGGCTTTATTTTGGTGATTTTCGAAAAGTTTTTTGGTTTGGCCATGTTTGTTTGTTGTAGTACAGAGTTAGACTGATGGCCTTAATCTAAGTTGTCTTGTGGTTGTTGTTGTTTGACTTGCATCCCACTGGGATTTTTGCACACAGTGTTGGTGTACGGTGCTTTTTCTGCAATATTTTGCTGTATTTTCTTGGATTTTCTGTTTGCACATAGTCACATAGTCACTTTAAGATGTTGTCTTGTTGATGTTTTTGTTTCCTGTTTGTTGCGGTTGCACCCGATTCAAAAGCCGAATGGCTCACAGGTCCAATGAGATCAGGGATGCAGGGGAACTATCGCCTATAGGCATGACAGTCAGAGCACGATCATCATCATCTGACAAGCGTAGGCGACGAAGGCCCTTTGGTGCCAACCAGAGTGTGTGTCCATCACGTGTCAGGACCGATCTTATTAACGAACCCACAAGTCCGGTGGATGGCCCGACGGATGGTGCCAAAGCACCATGCATTCAATCGAACGTACTTTTTATTATTATTGTTATTATTATTATTATTCAAAAACCCAGTATACAAAAGTAGATTTTTCGAAGAGGAGGGAGCAAAATAACAAGTGACTTGTGCCAAACTCAAAGCAATACACATCCGGGCTCCCTTGGCCTACCCCGCTAGGGGTAACGGACGGGAGCGGTACCAGACGTGCATTTCTAACGCCTGACTTTTCGAGTCGGCCTCGGCCACGTTCTTCAATGTCCCCCGATTGGACACGTCCCCAGTGTGTTCGAGAGGGTTGAATCTTAGTCACGAGTTCTATACCATAGGAGTTCTATACCATAGGAGTTCTATGGTGTGTCAAACTTGCATCCATTACACTGGTCAACACACTTTTTCTGGCATAAGGTATTCCAACGGTCTTAAGGTAATTTTGGGGTGCTGATTCCAAATCTGGCATCAGTTTTTGTCTATCACATCAGGTTTTTGAGATATAAAATATTGCATTTTCAATAAAAACTGCAGAAGAAAAATATGAAATAAATGTGGATATCTACATAAAATGATATTATAAACACACTATGCTAAAAATACAGCACCATATTTTAACACTAAAGCAGTCACTGACTCGCAACAACTTGCAATCATAAGTGACAGAGTTAATTTCTGGTAAAATCAATGAAAATGGGGTATGCCGATAGCATAAAAATGAGATGTGATAGAGCAAATCTGAGATCAGATTTGGAATCAGCACCCTGAAATTAGTCTAAAACAGCTGCAAAAGTCCAGGCCAGAAAAAAATGTTTTTTTTTTTGTTGACCAGTGTTATCTCTCTCACCTCTCTGTGGATGTCTACTATGAATAAGTGCCATTGCCCAAAACGTCACCTGTTACATATGTATCCTTCTCAGGCCACGGTGTTATTGACGAATGTATTGAATTTTCTTAAATATTTAGAGAGAGAGAGATAGAAATTGGCAAAGCAGTGGTGCGGAAGTCATCCCATACGTTTGCGGTGCATTCTTGTGTCAATACCCTGGCCTTAGCAAAGATGCTTCCTTTGGGAGGGCCTGTGTGGGGGAGGCCTGCCCTCTTCATCTGTGTCACCATCTGTGGTACTTTTGCTAATTAATATTATAAGGAAGGTTCCTGCAAACGGCGGAACTGGCCTGAAAAATACGGGTTTTTTTCAATGCACGAAGGTACACAAAACTAATTTTCTTCTGTCCAAATGATGTGCGATGGCTCTTTCCTTAAGATGCAGCTCATTACCGGGCAATCAAATCACGCGTTACCCCCCCCCCCCCCCATGCTGAGCAGAACATTAA